AAAAAAGTTATATACCGTTTAAATAAGAGCAAAAGGCGGACTACGTCTATACTTTTACTTTTTTAGTTATTTACATACAATACTTAAAAATAATTTTTTACCAAGTGTCTATTTTGACCTCCAAGACCCATATCTCAATTTCGGAGGCTAACTCCGAAAAACGGAGAAATTATTTTATTACTTATGACTCAATCTCTTGAAAAAAATGTATTTGGTCCAATACCCAGAAAAAAAAAGTTGATTTCGCCGTATACTGTAATAATAGAAAATGCCTATCAAACTTGGGCGTACAAAGTTTTTTATTTTTAATTACACTCGCACTGCCTGATGCACGTTCTTCATCGCAGAGAGGCGCCCGCGCACTTTGGCCGGAACAAGATTGTAATCCGAGTAGTTGTCAAGAACGCTTGAAGCGTATCTTCCGTCTATAACAACATGATCGACTTGGTCCTTCGTTCTTTGACCAGAGGTTACCCGATAAAGGCTGAATTTTGAGACTGTTGGACCAATATTGCCTTCTTTACCACATAGCGTTAAAGTATACAATCACATTGACATTGTGAAGGAGGCAGCGCTCATATGCTCCCTATAAGCGTTCGCAGAACTGCTCTTTAGTCCTCCATCGGGGCGTGCGCATAAATGAGGCTTAGCTTGTTGAATTTAGCTTTGATGCGGATCATTCGTTTACCCCAACCACAAATCCGCACTACTGTTTAACAGATGCTGCTGACTTCTTTGATCCCTCAAACTGAATAGTTCCCAGTGGCCACACCGCACCTCCCTCTCTTTCTGCCGTGGCCCAAGGCTCCACTCGGATTGGTTACGGTATCTCGCACATGGGTTGCTTACGTTGTCCACAGTGCGCGAACGAGGATGCAAGTGTCGGCATTGAGTATAGCCGTGCAACTGTAACTGCATGCACAAAAGAACGTCTATACTTCACTGACGTACCATTTAAAAGATCACCCATTGAGTTTGATGCAAATAAATATTTAAACAAGTATTAGAGCGTATTTTCGAGCAAATAAATTTATTAAACTACATGACAACTTTTCATTTCCTTTTGCATTAAATGTAAGATATTTGCTTTTAAGTTTTTTTTTTGTTTTTAACTAAATTAACATAACATCGTAGTAATAAAAGTATCGTATAAACATACATGCATATATTTATAATTTCCTTTAATAATTTTTGTATACACATACATACGTACATAGTATTCATATAAAGATGCTGCTTAGCAAACATTCTGCTTTAGCATGCAGCTTATACATATATTATATGGGTACTAAATATAGAAGTAAATATGTATATTATATATTTGTGGGAAAAATAAGCATCACAAAATGCGTTTTGAACATTCATATACTATACACATAAACTCTCAAGCAAGTATCACAATCATTCGTTACAATTTTGTAGCCTTTGTGAGTTAAACAAAAAAATCTAATTGACTACATACTTATGTGTACAATGAAGCGTATAAACATTTAAATAAATATTCAATGGTGCTGTAATTAGTTACATTAAACTTGAAAATTTCCAAAAGCCTCACTGAGCACAGCAAACTAACAAGTAATTTTTAAGTAAACAAACAACCGAGTTCAATTCTCATATAAAAATTTAGGAGTACCGTTAACTTCTTCATAATCCAATGATCGGATCTAATCCAAATTAGTATGGGACCACCCTTGAGGCACCACACTTCCGATATAAAAAGAATTATCGAAATCGGTTGACGTGGTCCAGTTATGCGGTAACATACATAAAAAAAAAGTATTCCGACGAATTGATAACCTTCTCCGTTTTTTGAAGTCGTCGAAAAAGAAAAATAATTAAAATGCAAGTGCCCTTGAAGAAAAACAGTTGTAAGGGAACATAGTAACTTTACTGTCCCAAGTAAACCGAAAATATATTGCTATGAGTTATTTGGTGGAGCAGCCAAACCAGCGTTCTTAAAGCGATTAATCCATATGGTAGAACGTTTATTGAAAATTTTGTAAATTTTATTAATGAAGAGACCTTTGAAGAAATGGAGGCTTTGAAAAAAAAAACTTGCCAGAGGCTATGATAACTTCACTGATAACTTTTTAAACTTGCACTAAGTCAAATTTTTTATACGCTTCATATATAAACATTTGTAGTTCACATGCGTAGTCCTAAAATAAAATGTATAGGTGAATATCAATTGAAAAATGTAGAAATGGGAAAATATGTTTTTATATGGGATTATTATTTTTTAGTTATTCTTTTTCCACTTTCTAATGCAGTCCAATGTACCAAATGGCCAAAAATAAAAATAAAATGCAAAACACACAGCGCATAGAAAAAATCGTGCTCCTCTTTTTCACGCATACATCTTAAATGCAACCGCCTCAAGTCGGGGACGCATTAAATCTTGCTGCATACGCATTAATTATTTTGCAACATTATTACTGCTGCCGCTGGCTGCCTGACCAATGGTCGGATCGCACTGCTTTAGATCGGCACACTTATCACAGACACGCACTGGCACATCCCAGCCATGCTCGGGCACCGGCTGGCGTTGTTGCGAACAGTGCTCACACACTGCTTGACCGCAGCGTCGACAATGATGGCGTAGACAGTCGCCAATGGGTGAGGGAATATTAAAACCGCCATTCGTTATATTACCAGCGCTACTACCCGCGGCGATATTGCCATTGACAATATTTTCTTTTGTTGTTTTTGGTGCAGGACTGGTAGTAGTGGTGCTGTTGCCACTGCTACTGGCAATGACACTATTAGCTTTTGCTATAGCCAACTCTTCAGCAGTGCCAAAGAGTGTCTCACAGATGTAACAAGTTGGCGCTTTGGCATCCGGCACCCAGTATGAGGGGCGGGCGGTATCCTTAATGATGCCTGGTAAAGGAGAGAGATGTACATACATATGTAAGTTTATTGATGTTCAGTGGGTTATGTATATTCACACAAAATTTCTTATATATACCTTTGGTAAACTCATAAGCTCCCTTTGTTATGCTGCCCAATGGATTGATGATTACCTCACCTATTTTTCGCACACTTATGTCAGCTTGTTCAGTCGTTGGTGGGCCTGTGATATTATTATTTGGATTTGAATTTGAATTGGAATTGGTATGATTAAATGCTTCGGTTGTATTTGCTGTACAATAAGAAATTTATATAAACGTATATATAGTTTTTCTTTTGAAGGACAATAGTAATATTTTTTTGAGGTGCATAAATGTGAACAAAATAGTGTAGAAATAAAAAAAGTAAAAGCAGAAGTAAAAAGTGCTAAGTGCAGAAATGAAATTTGGAAGCATTCGAAAAGTGCACCGATTATAAAATTCACATTCCAAAATTTTTTACTCTGGGAATTTCTAATTTTTATAAATTTTTTTGTCTTTAAATGCGTTCTATTATCTCTACAAATATTTTATTAATTTCGCAGCATTTCTTACCCGGCACCGCATTCGGTTTATTCTGCAATAGCGTATAACATGAATTACACACTCGCACTGGCTCTGACCAGCCGCGCGCTGGTACTGGCATTTGTTTTTGGCTACATGCATGGCAAAAACCTTCGCCACAGCTGCGGCAGTGATGCTTGTGTAAACCAGTATTTTCGAATACCTTCTGGCATGCATGGCAGCTCTGTAAAACGAAATATGGGAATGTATTTAGTTTGTAGTTTTTTTCTTGAGTTTTTTTATTTACAATAATTTCACTATTTGGCTTCCAATAGCCGGGCGCCACCCAGTCAGCTAGCCAACCGGTCACTGCATTGGGATGGAGTTTGGGTAGTGCTTCGCCGAGTGTTGATACCCTATCGAGTACCATTTGTGCGGAGTGTGATGGACCCTTTGGCTCCCAAACGTGTACAATTATTGATCTGTATGTGTGAGGAAATTGGACATATTGTACATAAATACAATTTTCATTTTTATCATTGGAAATAAATACCAAAATGAGAAGCCAATTTGATGTTATACTTATTATACTTACATATAGATCATTTACTTCAATAGTGTCATAATCCAAAGACTATTAATATTGAGTTAAGTACGCAGAAATTACCGCTACTTTTTCTTCTATGTTGTGTAAAAATTTCATTGCTGTATCGATTAACAGTACGCCACTAGACCAAAATATGTATTCATTTTTACTATGGGAGTATATGTAAATTCAAAACTTTAAAGCAGTTTTCTCGAGTTCTGTTTTTTTGAGTTATGACACTATTGAAGTAAATAAGCGATATGTATATTTTTTTAACTAATTCATCTTTTTGCTACAGTTTAGCATTATGCTTTTAAATTTCGCTTTACCTAACAGATGTCTCCTCCGGTGACTTATTACCAAACCAATATTGACGTGATCTGTATATTTCGCCACAGCTTGGACAATCGATGACGCCACCTTTCCATGCATACTTAGCCAATCCTGACCATGAGCTGTCGTTCTTTGTTTGTGTGCTAAATGTGACGACGTTCTGTGAAAAAAAATATATATATTTTTAAATTCACCCGATCAAAGAAAATCGTGTGCCTCGAGCTGAAAGTATCGGACGAAGAAAAATGGTCGCATGGACAAAAGATTGTAGTATTTTACTTTCGGCAGGTTTCGGGAAATAGTGATTGATGTTTGGAATGCAATTTCTCAGTCTCGGAGAATGTTGCTAATTTACGAAGTTCTTAAATTATTCTATGTTTTGTTTATTTTTAATTACTTTCGCCTAGGACAATCATTTATCCAGTTATGTGTGATAAGCTCTTGGATACTCTTTGCAAATTGGATACTATGTAATTTTTTATGAAAAAACTAATTCTTTTCAACTCACCTCCTTGCCATTTTTGTAGCATATTTTGCACAGGTACTTCTTATTGTCATACTGATTCTGATAGTTGCAAGGCTGTTGATTCATATGCGCCTCACCATCGCTCAAATGACCCATCGAACGCTGACAGCGCTGGTTGCACGCTTCACAACGCACCGGACATGTGAAAAATTGTTCGGGAAAAGGATTTATTGATTTCTCCACTATTTCACCGGAGAATTTGGTATTGAGCGCATTCATTGCTTTGAACACAACACTGGGTTGACGTGGTGAACGTACGGTGGTATTAGCGATTTCCAATTTTATAGCAGACTTAAGTTTACTATAATCGGTGGCCACATGCTTTGGCGTTTGTATGCCTATATAGCGCACTGAACTGAAAGCGTTGATTTTCTGATTGTGACGTTCGAAACATTTGCGCAGTTGATCTTCGGCGCTTTCGGCAACAGCTGCAAAACAAAAACAAAACAAAAAATACATAAATAAATAAATGTACAAAATAATAATAAAAATGGAATGATAAAGAAATAGTCAATAAAAAATATTAAAGCGTCTTAATGGCTTAATATTTTCTTGTCTATTATTTCCTTTCTTTTTGTACATGTATGTATGTATATTGGCATGTACTTACAACCATCAAGCGGGTTTGTGTGCTGTGTCTCATGGAAGATAATGACAGCGGGACCTAGCGTTTGCGCTGTGCCTGGCACTGGCAACGACTGCAGTGCTTGTGCGAAATGCAAGCAAAACGCCTCCGAAGCAGATCCCAAAAACTCAAACATATCGCTGTGTAAACGTTCAGAACGTGTGCGATATATAACAATGTCGGAAACGGCCAGAATCTATGTTGAAATGAAATAAAAACATATTATTAAAACAAGTAAGATCTTTATAACAAAATATGCAGTTTACCTTCAACAGCATGCGTATGCGTCGATTATGGTGTTTGGATGAGCCCAACAGTCCCTCGGTGTCCAGACACAGCACATCCATGTCGCGTTGCAGTGCCGCATAGACACCTATCGTGCAAGAATTCTGCTCTGCCGATGTCATGAACACCTCGGCGCCGTCGAAGAAAGTATTATTCATTGTATGCGATTTGCCATCGCCTGTATTGCCGAATATGGAAATTACTTTGATCTTTGTGTCATCTGTGCATTTAAGTTTCTTGCGAAATAGCTCTGGTGTGGGTATACGTAAATTCTCCTCGGCGTCCATCAGTAGAAACGAATGATCTGTGGAGTAGTCGGGTAGCTCATATTTGGCGACAGGAATGCAGCAATCAATCGATTTGAAATCATTGCTAATCGGTACATTCGTATTGGAGGTGTCGTTCTGTAGAGGAGAGAACAAATGTATAAAAGAAATTAATTAAACTGTGTATGGAAATATGTAAAAATTTAGGGTGCTTAACGCAATGTTTTAATATAATATAAATTTTAAATGTTGCTTTTTTTTGTACTTTTATAGCCTTGTACGAGTGCAATGAAATTTTAATGGATTTACATTTACTGGTTAAACGTAAAAGTAGTACTAATAACTTCATTTAGCTGATATTTTGAAGATTTACCAGCACGGTAAAAACATACGTACATAAATATGTATGTACTAGTGAACCCGCAAGTCGTTAAAAGGTCCAACTGAATTTAAAATTATAAACAGGCAACCTAGCTAAAAAGAATATTCCAAATGTTTCATCTAAATCCGTCTGAGTGAAAAGAGCTCTCGGTATTTCATTTAATCAAATTTCAGATCATCCGCACCGCTATAAAATGTTTTAACTTCCAAAATAAAAAACCTTATATACACATTTACCGGCCCAGTGCTTTAATTTGACATCTCATTTTTGAATTTCAAAATTATTTTTAAACTAAAGTTTCCTTAAAACTCTAACGCTTGGTACTAACATTTTAGCATTTAATTTAACTTGTGTATAAGTAACATAAATTAGACTTTTTAAACAGATGGCAACCCTCTTTAAAAGTATTTTCAAACTTAAATCTTTTTTAAATTTTTTGTTTGGCATTGTGAATTATATTACAATTAACTGATGAATTAAGTTGAAATAGATTTTTTAAACACGTGGCGACTCTCCAAAACACAATTCAGAAACGTCGGTGTTATGCAGACATATTTTTGTTTGCAAATTAAATGGCGGCTGCTTAGTTTGCTCGGAGGTGGTTATGTCGAGTTTGGCACAGGGTTGCACGTTCATTATGGTTTTCATGGCTATTGCCAACACGAAATGAGAATTTTGTGTATAGCAACAATTGTCTAAAAGTTTTGTATATGACAACGCCGAATTTGCTGCAGCTTGACCAAACAAAATTTCTGCATAACACCGACCAAATAAATCCCTTTCAAACGCATTTCGATTGATTAACAACTTTTATAAATTCATTTACCTTATTAAATAATTTCAATCTAACTTTTTCGACAGGAGGCAACCCTCTTCAAACGCTTATATGTTCAAACTAAAGATTTCTTATGACTCCATATTTTTAAATTTCATATACCGTGTGTATATTCGACTCTTAAAATAGGTGGTAACCCTCTGCAAAATATTTTCAACTACTATCTCCTTAAACCTGATTCGTCTGGCACCCATTGGGCGATACGTATTTCAATTACCTTAATCCAAATTGAAAATTATTTTTTAAACAGGTGGCAACCCTCAACATCTGAACCAGGTTAGATGCCAGCATTGTTTGGTAGTCGCCTCTCGGCAGACAATACCTATGTTTTCGTACTTTGCAGTAATAAAATGTCCAGTAACTTACCACTAACCAAATTTCCGAAAAAAAAATTGTGTTTTCGAAATCTCCAACATAGAAAACTAACCAGTAACTTGCCAAAAACTAAGAAACATGCAAGAAAGTATAAAAGCGCTAAACCAGCCAGAAGTTACAAGTTTTAGGAACAGCTGATTATTTTGTTTTCCGAAGCAATTTTCTAACAAATTAAATCATTTTATATGATTGTTAAATTTTTTTATACACAACCGCATTTTTAGCATTTTTTAAATAATTTTCATAGAAGTTCGTTTCTCAACCTACCTCATCCAACGACACAGAAAACCACATTTTTTCCATCACTTTTTTTTAATAATGCTCATGCTTATATAAGAAATTAATATTCCACGCAGTTCCATTCCACAACCACTCCAGTCTTACAATTGCAATTTTAGATGCAAATTTCCCTGTTTGATTGCGCTTATTTCGCGCGCGCCCGCACCCTTATCTAGTATTGCATAAATATGCACCTGAAGTGGTGGAAAAAAGAAAAAACTATTAAAAGATATTAAAAAAAAAATATAATAATTAAAAAACTGCACAGCTGATAATTTTAAAAATAAATATAAATACGCAGCAGCGCTTTTGCCATTGTGCACAGCTAAACTGAAATTTCACCATTGACTTGAGCGCTTGAGACGCTGTGCTGCGCAAAAGGTTTCTGTTGTCGATTTGTGGTTCGCTGCTCGTAGAAGTGGCTTTGAATATTTGATACAAAGCCACATAAATAACAAAAGAACAGCTGAGTTGCGGTAAATAAATAAAAATAAAATCAAATAACTATGCAAGCAGCGAGAAATCAAGCAATGATACATACGAGAGTGATAACACGCCGAGAGGCGGTAAGCACTAGAGTTAAACGTAGGTTGTAGTAGACAGCATGGAAGCGTGAAATGGGAAACGAACTTGAAAGCGCGAATTGGCGAGCAAAATACAAGTGAAAAATTAGCAAGTCTTTTTCGCGATCTTTTTTTTTGATATTAATTTGCTTTGGATAAGAATGATGAAATGGCTAAGCTCACCTCAGAATGCCAGAAATATTTAGCTGCAGCAAATCACTTGTATTACTGTAGATAATAAACAAGTGAGATCAATCATCCCTGGCGAAGAGGGAAAGGTATTTCACTAAGTAGCATAGTTATGATAGAGGCGTCCTACCATCCACCCAGAGAACGGCTGTTTTTATCGACAAACAGGAACAGACGAGAAGATAACGACGAACCATAGGCTAATTGCAGTGGCTCCGCTTATGGAGTTGATATAACAGTAGCGAGAAGGTCGAACGGCCTTAACAAACAGCGGCTTAAGCACATCGATTACCGAAATATGGATTCACGCCAATTACGGAAGCTGTTTTAAAACTACTCAGGCAGCATGTGTCATAGTACGAGGTGGTGTTTATGAAGCCCTGTGAGACACGGAAGTTACCAGTTTTAGTCCGAGAATTTTTTGCTGGTAAATTCTGGTAAATGTGTCAAACGATCAGCTGTAGTGTGTTTGGCAACCAAATTGTAAACAAAAGAAAATTGCACTCTGCTAATTCATGTTGAAAAGTATTTAATTACTTGTTTAAGTGGATTCTAATGAATTTGAAAGTGTTTTTGGTTATTTACATGTGTGAGCTGAGTGCGTTTACATACAAAATAAGCAAAAATTTACAACCAAAATTTGGAGGTTATGTTGAAGTTGACAGAAGTTACCATTTTTTACTAGAAAGCGATCCCGTACTTTTCAATGTTACTCTCTCGCTCTGAGTGAATTTTTATTTTTTGACAGTTTTACTAGTCCGAGTCCGAGGAATACGGGATTGCACCTTAAAATGGAAAGCATCAAAGATATAATAGCATATTGCATGGACGTGAATTTGAAATAACTCGGAATATGTTGTCCATTTTGGCAGGTATATTTGTCCTTACATAGCGAATATATATTCCACTTTTGAAACAAATCAGACCATAAATGGGAGTTTTTAGCGTAGCTCGACCCCTGCGCCACCTATCGGGAAAGTTAAAACTTTGTGCACTCCTCCTACCAAACACCTTTCCAACAAAGCAACAACCATTCGAATCGGTTGAGAAACATAGGAGAAAATTGTTCCCAGTTGATTCATGCTGGTTTATATATAGATATTCATATGTATATCTAAGGTAAAGGTGAGATCTCAAAATCTTTATAGCTGACTTTGACTAAGATACGGACTGGTGAACGTTTGAGGTTTTAAAAATCAGCCGTAAGGGTTCTTATCGGCTTAAAAGGCACTGTGTCCATGTCAAAGTCTTAACGCAAAGTGACCGTTACCGATATTTTTTCAAAATTTTCTTTTTGAAGCAGAAATGCTTTTTTATTGCGGCGGCCGTTTACGCTTTTTTGGCGGTTGATTAGGGATAGATATGCATGAGCCTGATGATACAAGCTCGGCCAAACACTAACATATTCAGGCTTATTGCGAGAGTCGTGTCGAATGCGAATCGTTTTTCGTGAGTCGAATCGTATCGAAAATTTCATGTCATTGCCTACAATTTCGACTCGACTACATAGTGTTGTAAAACGGAAAAACTTGGCAGCACTGCATAGTTTTCGAGGATTTTCGTCGTTTACTGAGTCAGTTACGGATTTATTAAGCACAAAGTTAAAATTCTTGATTTCGAGGGACTTCAATAGTAAGGGTAGACAATCCGATACGCCGCAATCGCTAAAGAAAAATAAGTAGTAGTACTGCTGTCGCATTGCGGGCTCATTGCATGACTATTAGCCGTTACTGTTGTTGGGGGATATGTGAAACTCATTGCCCTTTTCACCTGGAGAAATATTAAAAACAGAAAACGATTGAAACAGCTTCTAAGTGCATCGCGTTCGTTTGACTGTATATAAAATACTATATGTACAAAGATAAGATATCGTTTGATGTCTTTAGCAAATGTAAACGACTGTAATGAAGGCAATCACTTTGTTGTAAATGTAGTTATTTGTAAGCATATTGAGCGCTTAAGAGAATAAATGTTAAGGAATGTGTCATCATCATATACATACATATAGAGACTCAAACAAGTGTTTACGTGTTGCTTTTCAAGTTAATTTTTTTGTAAATTTTTCTATAAAAATATTGACCAAGCTTTAACTAAAACTAAATAAATCAAAGTTTCAAGCTAATCTTTATTTGTAATTTTTTCTATAAAAATATTGTCTAAGCTTTAAAAAACCATATAAATCAAAGTTTTAAACTTTATAAAATTCAGAATATTCATCAAAATTTCGAGTTTTTTAACCTGACTCTTTATAAAATTTTTGGGTATGAAGTTTTTTATCCTGTACCATTTTATAGCGCTTTCTTTTTACTAATAATTCATGCAGAACAAGTTTTAAGGACATTTTTGAAATATTTGTCGCAATAAGGTATCAAAATTAAAAATGAGGATAACGAAGTAAAGTCGTATTTTTTTCAGAGTTCGTCCTATTCAAAAATTGCTATTATAAAAATTCTGAAGCTTGAAATTTTTATGAAAATTTGTTACATTTTCTTAAATTTTGTATAAAGTTTGAAATTTTGATTTATGTACAGTATTGGCCAATACAATAGCACTCCCATTTCAAATGGATATTGTTTGTCACTTATGTTTATTTATTTATTTTTAGGAATTTTAAATTAAAATACATTTCATTCTCTAACAAAATCCATATAAACCAAAGTTTAAAACTTTGTAAGACTACAAAAACATGCAACACATTTTCACCTAAATTTCAAACTTTTTTCTCAGAAGTGTTACAATTTTTTTAAGTACACAGGGCCTATGCTAATCAGTATAAAAGTTCTATGGTGGAAAAACTTTTTACTATGGTGAGAAAATTTTACATTTCTGCTGTGCCAATTCGTAACTTTTACTGGTGGAAGTTTTTGATAGTTGCTTTGAAGCAGAAGAAGAGCATCGAGCTAGCAAATTTTTTTTTAATTCTACAGAATTTTTCCTTTTCATTGATACCTATATTGTTACTCTAAAATGCACCAAATCTTTTAAATAATTTTTTTATTCAATAATATCCTGTAAATTTCAAAGCCTTTTATAAAAAAATCCTGACGACAGGGAGAAAAATTAAAAACGCAGTTATACTATATTTGGCAGCTACTTTTTTGAATATATTGACTTTTTCGTGTTTTAAAAAGTTTTGGTTTTTGTCGCACGGCGTTGTCTATCAATTAGCACAGGCTCACAGTACTAAAAAATCAAAAAAATCAACGGTAATTTTTAGCCACTTGAAATTTGCACATTATCGGATAAAATTTAATGTGCTATAAAACTGTGTACTAAAAAAAATTCTAACACTTCTGAAAAAAGTTTGAAACTTGGACGAACATTTGTTGCGTTTTTTTTTGTAGTCCCTTACAAACTTAGGTTTATATGGGTTTTGTAAGAGAATGAACTGAATTTTAATTGAACATTCTTGAAAATAAATAATTAAACATACGTGGCAAACAATATCACTTTGAAATGGGGATGCTATAGATATGACCATCCTCTCAATTTATATTAAGAAACGTAAAGTTTGGTACCAGCACCTCTTTTGGCAAGAGAAACAATTCTGGAAGGTGCCCCAAACCCTATCTCGGATAAACATTTTTTGGACCACTCTAATGTATACAGATGCGTGCAACTAATTAGCAACGAAATTCAAAACGATATTGCATGCAAATTATGTTTATTTATTTATTTTTAATAATTTTCATTTAAAATATAATTCAAGCTATATCAGAAACCACAATAACAAAAGTTGCAAAGCTTGCACAAATTGCAAAAAAATTAATCAAACTTCAAAAAATTGTCATCAAAATTTCAAAATTTTTAATTAGAATATTTAGAAAATTTTGGGGTATGCAGTTTTGTAGCCCATTCAATTTTAGTATAATAAAGTGCAAGTTTCAAGTCGCTAAAAATTACCGTTGATTTTTTAGAATTTTTTTTGTCGAGGGTGTTGCGGATTTTTTTCCATGTAAAAAAAAATATTTTGATCATGTGTTATATAAAAAAAACTTAACTGTAAAGTTTTTATAGATTAGCAAAACGTATATTTATAACACAGGCACAAGAGGAAGCTAGAATATGTATTTGTTTATAAACAAAACCAATCGCATAACATGCTAATAGTTCGGAAAGACACAAATGCTTTACATACAAAAGTACTATGTACAAATGAACCTTCATACATACATACTAGTAAATGAATTAAAAACAACTTTTAACCATAGCATTGTCCAATAGTCACGTTTCCATCAGCTGTTGAGTTCAGTGTCAAAGCCACAAAATATTATTTAAATACGTATCAGCTTTAATTGTACAACAAACACAAACTATGAACGGAACGTTCGATTGTACATACATATGTATGTACATATATTTACTGGTAAACATATTTAAAAACTATTGATAGTAGATCTCTGCTTTGACAATTGAGGCCTTGAGGGCCAGAGTAGCCTAACTGACATTTCAAAAAAAATTAAGGTGCACCGGTAATAGCCCGAGGCACGCCCTTTTAGTTATCTTTTACTAAAATACATAGCATTACTTAGGTGCAATGAACTTTTTAGTAAAATGTTTAATGTTTAAACATTTTTACTTACTTCAGTACATTCGACTAATGACTAGAAATATTCAGTTTCAGAAATATCAATTTGTGTATAACGACACAACGCAACACTAAAAAAACTTACTATGTACTGAACAATGTCTAATCCTTACTAAATCTTTTGATAAGAGACATGTGCCAGTTTAGTATTAAGGTTTTTTTTAGTGTTGAGTTGTGTCGTTATTGCAGATGACCATCGGTATGTGGCTAAGCAAACACATTTTAACTTAATAAAAACTTAAACTGCGTATATTAGGATCGAACAATTTAAAATACATTTATGTCAATGGTCAACGGTGACGCATGCAAGTTGATAATGAAAGCTATTGTATACATGTGTATTTGCGATGTACAAAATAAACAAAAATCGGTCTAACTAAAGTACAATAGTGCACATGAATAGTACTATTACTCCCATGGAAATCCTATATACCAGAGGATTATCTTACAACTCAAATATACCAGCTGTGCTGCTGTAGCAAATACAAAACGCGCGATGGACTTGCTTGTTTCCAGTTTGTCTATAAAATTTTGAAGTAATCAAATGCATTTGAATGCATACATGCATATACAATGATAATGTATGTAAGTTAAAAGGTTATCAAGAGCATGGAATTGCATATTTACAATCAGCTAATGTCAACAAAGCCCCTAAACAAAGTGAGAATATTACAAATTTATGGAGGCAGAACCACGCTATCAATACAAATGGACAGAACTTATGTTGAAAGCGCATTAACCAGTTTGACACACCTCTTTTCAGCATCCGTGCACGTCGTCTCGTATTTTGTTGGTTTGTGCAACTATGGACGTCGCTGAGTTATGATCTGAGCATGGCTGACTTATCGAAAATCCCTTGTTATATATGTATATATTTGAGTTAAACGATTAAAAACTAATATCAAATTTTTACAAACACTTGAAAATGGTACTTTTCTGATACGCAATTCGCTTCACATGGCCATTATTACGCAGATTTCTCATATCTCTGCTACTCTGGATTACTAATTAAAGTGATCCTCTATTGCCCATAATAAAAAGTTGGTATATTGTTCAAATAGGCTGTAAAGTTATAGTATAAAATATATTATTCTACCTACCCCGATTCCAGGCAATGACTCCAATGCCTCCATTATGGCCGAATTAGCCGATAAATTCTTATTGAACATTTTCACTTGTTTAATATGCACAACCAATACACGTCCACGTTATTTAGCACAGTTTCCAGTAGTTTAAACGCGGTTTGCAGGGTTTATTGCAAAATAATACAAAAATTATTGCCGCGTCTCTATCAAGTTCCATGTAATCAGAAAACTTGCTTTGTCTTCCGAAATTCCGCAAATGTCAAGACAGAAAACAAAGGGATCACGTTGCACTGCCGATTGGAGCAATTTCCTGTTACTTGCTCTGCCACGCCTTAAAGTTTTGAAAACGTACAGATAAATGTACATTTACCTTAATTTGCGTTTATTTGTAGTGAAAAGCACAAATTGTTTAGAATATTAACAAGATACCTAGTTGAAATTTGTAACTTTAACCGCAGTTGCTAAATTTTTCACTCGACTAAACAGGAAAATCAAAGTAAAAAAACAAACTAAAAAAACTGCAGCCGCAAACGAAACGGGATTTGAAATGGAACAGCAAGTGTTGCCGTTTAGTAAATAGGGCCGAACCTAAGACCCCTTTCAGACACGTCAAGTCTTGCTTTCAAGTCTGCTCGGTTCGTGGGCGAAGGAGGTGTGCAGAGAGGGGAAAAGTACATTCGTCCCTCCTCCTTCGCCAACGCACGAGCAGACTTGAAATCAAGACTTGACGTACCTGAAAGGGGTCTAAGGGATGAGAAAAAGAGAAATTAAAATATGATAAATCAGAGAACATGTACTAAGAATTACATATAATTCCGATCGATGGTTAATTGTTTTCATGCACATGTTTATTTATATGAAATCCCAAGCGTTAAATTAAAAAATTAAGTAAAAGTCAACATATATAAAATATTGGCCCTACTACTAATACATGCAACTCTGTGCATTGTCATCTGTGGCTCGATGATACTCCGGGATGCCAAGACTATAAGGACGATTCCTCCGAAATCCAACAAGAATTTCCCATTTTCTTTAAATACGAGGATAGTTTGATAAGCCGAAGGTTTTTGCTTGGTTTTCTCTCGCTGTAACTAAAAATGTAACACTCCTGTTAAGTACCACTAACCGGGACGTTACACATTCAATTATACATTAAGGCCGATTCCTCCGAAATCCAAATATTTTGCTGACATCTCCCAAAATTTGATGTAATTTCTCCATTCCACCAAAAGTTCAAATACCTGCTAGAGTTGGCATCTCTACATCGATTACTCACGGAGAATTTGCGAAACGGTCTCAAAAAGGAGTAATCCAATATTTTCCAGCTGGCGCAAGGACCAAACCTGCAAGGATATACTTATTTTCAGTGCAATTGTTTACATAAAATATTTAAAAGTTTAGGGTGTGAAAATCAAATATTAATACGAGTACTAATAAAAGGTGTTTGTGTATAGATACTCCACTCATTAATTATAGAAGTGACGACACCAAATTGCTCCGTGTGTGGGCAGTGGTGCACCAAAAGTAGCGTTGGCAGGAAGAAACTGCAGCTGTCGAGTAATAGAGGCGCAATAAAACTCTTCAAAGCTATTTAAAATTCACTCACATATTTATCCAAAAAGGCAGCGAGAAAAAGACACTAGTGCTGTAGGAGGAGCGAACTTCTAGCAGCTTAAGAACAAGTAGAAACAAATTTATTCCTGTTTTAGTTTTTCATTTAGTAACAATCAAATAAATCGAGTGTAGGAAACATTGTTGCTAGGTTTCAACTCTACATGCCCGGTTTTCACATCAATGAAATGGGTGAAATGGTGCTGGATGCCATCGATGACGTCGCCGTTGTTGATGTCTACGATTTAGCATCGGACATTGGAAAGGAATATGAACGAATTATTGATCGTTATGGTACTGATGCAGTTACGGGACTAATGCCAAAGATTATAAATACACTGGAGCTGCTTGAGGCATTGGCAACGAAGAATGAGCGGGAAAATGCGACTATACAGGAATTGCGCGATAAGATTGCACAACTGGAGAGTGAAAAATCCGAGAGAGCTGAGTACCGCAGGCGATTCGAGACAGTAAGTTTTGGCACAGAAAACACAATTTAGTCAATAATAATAACTTATAACATAAATTCTTTTTACAGGAAATGGAAGTGCTGGAGGAGCAATGGCGTACCGAAACCAATGAACTGGTGGAAATGGTGCAGTCCTTGCAGGATGAGAATAAGCGACTTGTTAAGCAGACCCAAGATCTGCAGTCCTCTTCAGCACAATCTTCCGGCTTGGGTGCTAGTTTGACCGAAAGTATTATTAGTATTACGAATAATGAGCTGAATAGTGCGCTTACGGATACGCAAGTGCTGCAGCGTTTAAAAGATCAAATCTATAAACAGCGTGACGAGTTGAAATTGAAGGAGCATGAGTTGCAGGAAAAATACGGAGAAATAGAAAATGTAAGTCAGCTGAAGAACAGGGATGGTATATACATACAAAATGCCACATCTTATCTTAAAAAAGCACCTTTGTACATGTACTACATGAGCTTTATCATCACGGAATATCTAAACTATTCCAGCCAAAAGTCTATGTAGTAAAACTACTTAAACACAAAATTGATTACTTGCCTTAAACGAAAACTTAAACCAAAGTTTGTAGCCTATTCTATGTTCTACCCACACAACAACTCCTTCGCAACTTCCTTCCTTTCTGCATTCTGTAAGGTTTGCGAAAAATTAATTACCCTACGCTGCTATGCTACAACGCGACTTGGCGATTTTTTCCATTATTCAGGTCATCATAAAGTGTATTTAACGCTCGTTAACTTCGGCTAATTTAATCAACTGGTTGGCAATTATCTGCAGCTGCCTGTACAGCAACAACGCTGAACCCCCGGCTTTAAAACTTTTGCCGTGTTATAACAGCGAGTTTTTATTGTATTTATTTGTGTTAGCATTTATTTTTATACTTGTTTGCTTTTCCTAGTATTCTTTTCATTTTATTCCTCATCCATTGCTCTCCCCTTTAGCTGCATATACAAGTGGACCGGTTGAAGTCGTCCGCCCGCGATGCTCATCGCCGGCGCAAAATGCTACAAGCCCAAGTGAAGACGCTGTGCGAAGAGCGCGCTGATTTCCTTGCTCAACTACAAGACCAATACCGTGACATTAATCAATTACGCAAGCAACTTGGGTTGGCAGAGAAAGAGAATGAGGATTTGGTGAAATCGTGCAGCGACGACCCGAATGATCCGAATCGTCCGCGCTACACCACGTTACAGTTGAAGGAGTTAATTTGCGAACGTGACGAATTAATCACTACTGTTGACAATTTGACCGAAGAATTGAAGGCACTCAAGCCTAGTAATGCGAAACTGGCAGCAGCGGGTGGCGCTGGTGGTGGAGGTGATTCTAGTTCGTATGATTATGATGACGAAGATGATGAGGTGGATGAGGAATCACAAGAAGCGCATGAAGCGGTGTGCGGCACGTGAGTAAAAAGCAACAAATAATAGTTTGCGTGTGTGTGTAGATGTGGATTATAAAGCATGTTGGGGTAGTTATTTTTTTTTTTTGTGCTGTTCGGGTGGAGGCGGCTATGCTTGAGTGGCGGCAAGTGTCGCTTTCCACTTGGTGCGGCACTATTGTTGTATACATTCAAAAGTTATTTGCTTTATACATTTTTTGTTTGCATTTGTATTTTTAATTTTTAATGTTTTTATTGGTATTACAGCCACTTGACGTTTAACTTTATGTCTTTTACCTTTCCCAGGCCACCTGACCATGATGCACCCGTACAAGGACCTTTACCCTACGAGCCAGACGATGCTCCTTGGAAGAAGAGCAGTGAATCGGGTATACGCAAATTGTGAGTATACATTGCATTAAGAGAATTTGTTTGGGTTTAATGATTGAAAAGTAAAATATGGTCAGTAGTCAAATGCATAAACATTGTTCATCGCTAATTGAAGAGTTTTTAGGCACTCGTAGACTCTAAAAAATAGAGCGGTTCGACTGAGCGCCTTTCAAGTATCGAGCTGTTTGTTAACGAAAATGTTCCCATTTAATTAAAACAACTTATATCATATATATATATAAATATATATATATATATATCGTTATAGTTTTGACTTTGAATTAAAAATAAATAATAAGGTTTAATTTAAAAATTTTATATTTTAATAAATTTTGTATTTTAAAAGGGATATCCTAAAATTAACCTACAGCTAGCTAATAGTTATAGAAATGTTTAGGAACCCCTTGAAATATTACTTTAAAGGAAAAAATGTCATATCTCGAGATAAGTTATTTTAATAAAGTGCTATTGATATATTGAAAATTCTACTTTAAGCAATATTCTTTCTAAATCTCAATTTTCTTTCTAGCTTCCGCCGCCTGTTTTCCGACACTTCGGATACTTCTAAACGTTCCTTGGCCACACTGTCTAAAATGGCGCTCTCTGCTACACCTGGCAATGCGGATGTTAAGTAAATTGCTGTGCCATTGTATTGTCGTCTTTTTTGGGTGATGTAACTAAAGTATAAAGAGGTCTGGGTACACAATTACATAGGCGTGGCGCAATTTGTTGGAAATAAATTTTGGAAATTGCAAAACATTCCTTTGCAGTATAAAACTCTGTATTGCATAACAATTTATAAACATTATGTGAACGCATAGATATTAACACAAAAAGGGGACGATAATTGAACAAAATTGATATGAGGTTAACTTTATATTAAGGAAATGTGTGATGTTTTTAGAAATTTGTTGGCTCAAATAAGTGATAAATAGGTTTTTATGTCGTTATAGTGCGGTCATTATTGCTAATTTGTGTAAAATTTGTGATTTTTGAGACGTTCAGCGAAAGTATGAAGCGAGTAGCTTAAAATTTATTAAATTGCGGTTGCAAAAAATTAAGTGTGATTAAGGATTTTAAGAAAACACAAAATAGCAATAGCGAAATAGTTTAAGTAAAGTTTATGCCTTTGTGTAACACAAAATTATGTTACACATTTTTTTCAGGAATTTTTGAACTTTTAAAATTTGCTCCGTTCGCGTATTTATTTTTTGCCGCGCGTCTCATTTGTGCTGTGCCAGGCGTCAGCGTATGAAAAAAATTCGATTAACCCTCAGTATTGTTCATTTATCGTCCGTTAATATTATGTAAACTAAAGCCAAATATGTTTATAAGTGTTTTCTATTTTATATACATACTTGAATATAATATATGTATGTATATGTAAATACATATTTATTGTCCTCTACACAATTTTGCTATTTATTATATTTAGTAAGTTTAAGTACACACCTGTGCATGTTAATATAAAAATACTAACGTTTTTGTATTTATTATTTAATATTTCTGTAAATAATTTTATTTATTATTATTCTGTTGGGTGCTAAACCCGTTTTTTTGTACGTGTCGAACACGAAAAAAAAACACAAAATAAAAATCTCCAAAAGTGCACGAACTCTTATAAAATATACATAGTAACTTTTAAAATGTGTATACTTTT